CYTYSRRGKTTTTTTGGTACCGCAAAGTCCGAAGACGGTTTGAATCATTGGTAGTATTTTGAAAATCATTCGTATTTGATTGAATCAATCCATCGTCTCCGGTTCGCTTTCCCGGCGAAGAGAGCAGACACCAACGTACTTATCGTGATTACGAAGCATAACGTACGTACGTACGTACGTATGTCCGATGCGAATGCGGGTGTCGGAGACGTATCGCACGGCACGGCGAGGGGTTCGCGCCAAAACCTGTTTCGGGTCCTCGCGTCTGTGGGCGTTTGGCCCTGCGCGCGCGCCGGTAGGCCCGGTGTCGCTTGGCAGGACCGAACCCGCATCGAATGGATCGGATATGGGCAATCCATCGGTCCACAAATACTGTACCGTACATGAATCCATGAATCCATCCATCGTACGTATAGCACCGTAGGTTCTACACGTAACGCTCCCACCCTCCCGGACGTGGCGCACACTTTCCGAAGGGAAAGACAGAGATTGATTGATTCGTTCCGTCCAAGATCGTTCGGATCAAACACGCGGGGCCAAAGAGAGGTACGAGTACGAGTACGAGTACGGGTAATCGTGCCCGGTGGTGGTATCTATTTAATTTGTACGGCTGCATCAAACAGAGCATAAGGTACTTGCACTATGGCATCGAACCCGCGTCGTGGTCGCCGTTGTGAGTGATTCATACATGGTGCGAAAAACGCCTCGGTACAAACGAAAACGAAAACGAAAACGAAACTTAAACCAAAACGAAACCGAACACAAAAGCCACTCGACGACGGCTGCCGGAGACACCCAGACCCACTCGGTAGCAACTACTGTATCAATCAACTAGCAACCCAATTTCAAAGCAGACCCTTCCGCAAGCCCGCACCAAAGCTCGGTCGGACCGGTCCATCGAAGCCCGGTTTCCAGAGAGAGACGCGGGAGCATCCCCCACCAAGAACCACTCCCAAAAGCGCAAGACCAACGCAAAAGCAACTCCCGGCCATGGGGAACGCGCCACCGGGAGCGGCCCGCCCCGAAAGCGCGTACAGCGGGGATTCCGCGGGCGGTGCGAGTGCCGGGGGCGACACCAGCGGCGACGCCGACTCCACCGAGGTCCTCCTGGTCGACTGCGGGCACTGCACGGCCGCCCTCGAGGTCCCGGGCTCGACGACGGTGGAGGGCCTGTACGCGGCGGTCCTCGAGGACCTGGACGACGACATGGTCCCGGGCGGCGGCGGCAACGACAGCGGCAACGGCAGCGGTGACCCCTCCTTTCGCATCTGGATCCGGGGCGTCCAGCCCACCAAGAAGCAGTCCCGGAGGCTGACCGTCCGGGACCTCCTCCGCAACGGCTGGCCCGTCCGGYTGGTGGAGAATCCGCGCGGGAAGGGGCAGTCGCCGGTGCCCGGGGGAGGGGGGGCTTGTCCCGGYGCCGGTGCGATTGGAAATAGCAATGCGAATAGCAATGCGAATGGAAACGGCAACGCCAACGCCAACGCCAACGGCAGTCCAAACGCCCACACCCACAACCACAACACCATTCACAACAACAACAACCATAACAACGCACACAACCATAACAACGCCTACACCAACCACAACGGCAAGCGCGACCGCGGAACCGAGGCCCCGCTGGCCTCCCCCACCCCGGCCGGCTGGAATCGCCCCCCGGAAAAGGCSACCGGTGCCTCCGATCCATCGCCGCTCAAGCGGTCCAGGATTTTCTCGGCTTCCAGCGGGGGGTCGGGCGGGAGCGACCAAACGGCGGGCGGCACCTCGCACACCACCGGCGTCGGAAGCAGCGGCGCCGAAGCCGCAGCGGGCGTCGTCACGCCGCCCCCGGCCGGGGAAGAGAGGCGGGAAACACCACCGACGCCACCACCACAGCAACAGCAGCAACAGCAGCAACAGCAACAGCAACAGCAACAAAAGCCGGAACCCGAAACAGAAGAAGCCATGGACACGAACACCACTAAAACAAAGGAGGAAGATTCTTTCGATCCATGTGGCGAGCTCTCGAGCAACGACT